AGGCCTAGTAATTTTGATTAATTAGCCTCTACTTTTTTTGCACAAACACTATAGAGAGTTGAGCCTAGAGACTAATAGATAGTAAACTTAATTTTTGACGTTGTTATTCTTCTAGTCCCACTTTGGAAAACATTTCGTTCATGGTGAAAAAATGGAAAATAAAGTTTGAAAAGGGGTTTTCACCCTGAAGAAAGGGTTTTCGGGAGTCGGCTTCCGAGTAAAAAATATCGGAAATTAAGTTGACTATCTTTTAGTCTCTAGGCTCAACTCTCTACAGTGTTTGTGGAAAGTGGTAGTAATAAATGTGCATAATTCCATGAAAACTGCTACTTCCGTTTGTGCCATAATGTCCCATAAATATATTATATAAACATATAATATATAAATAGTATAGTGTATATTCTGGGAAATGGTTGCATGAGTAACCGAAACGTTAATATTCTAATTTTAATTGAATAAAAATTATTATGACTGTTACTGTAATAAAAAGATATAGTCTTTAGAAATAGAAAAAATAGATAGATTTACACAGAACCCACTTCGCTAGAAAAATGGATGAATCAGCTGGGCAGTGTGAATCCACGTGATAAAAAGAACAAGGCAAAATAGAGAAGCACGGGTAAGAAAAACGAGCAACTTATTGCGCTCGATTCTAATGAATCTGATAACATACGGCCCATTCTATTAGTTCCTCCGGTCCGAAACGGTGTAAACTCTTTCAGCAATGGTGCTTTTTGTGGGATTCTAAAAGATGAGAAATGGAGGGGGGTGCAGCAACATTGCTAGAGTCACTCACCATCTGCAGAAATATCTGATCCCACCTGATCTTGATGGTATGTTCGTTCGTTAAAAACCTGTTCTATTTTGTAGTCTGGCATATTACCGGCAAATATTTTCCAACTTATAATTCAAATCGCAAAAAAGATTAAAACAGATCCTAACTTTCTTGTCAACCCGGACGCAGCGTCAATCCAGCTATCGAATGAATTCGTTGAACTATTTACCCCATGGCTCGAGCAGTACCAGGAAGCATTATCATAAACAATAATAACAAATGAACTATGATAATAACACAATTAGGAAAGAAACAAATTGTCAACGTTAGACATCACCACATCATGGAATTGTCTATACTTTTTGAAATATTTACATGTGTATTTTTGCCGTGCTGACAAATTTTTGTTATTGTGAGAAAGGTAAAAAATAAAGTGACCAAATAATATCGGCACGGAAAATGTGATGGTGTAGACAGGAGGGCTCTAGAAGATCCGCAATGCCGTCTTTTTGGCTATATTATTTTTCCCAATGAAGGAACAATTTCCGAAAGTAGAATGTAGAGACTAATGTAGCAAACTTAATTTCCTAAATCTTATCTGCTGGGCTTAACTTTGTACAAATCGAAGAACGGTATTTACTTTTTTTAACCATGAGATACGATTTCTTAGAATCTGGTGCCGACAGAAAATTTAGAAAATTAAATTTGCCATATTTTATGTTTGAAACTCTCGAAAATGCTTTTTTCAAACTGAAAACACCAATCTCTGAAATATCTTCTCAATGATTTCATCACTTATGAACTTCTAGATGTGTGCCTGGTAGCTTAGTTGATTATTAAAACATCGCGTAGTTTAAATCTCAATTCTGAAAGTGCTTTACAGTCGGCGAGTTCGATTCTCGTTCGGCAGATTCTTTTTTTCTTATTTTTTAAGCTAGCTTTGAGTATCCGGTTAACCGAACCCTCCAAATATACACTAAGCTGTTATAAAGCGGTTATTAACGGTTACGGTTAACCGTTCGACCGGTGATAAGCGTAACCGTTGGGGGCCTACTGTCTACTGAACTAGGAACTTTACACTTTTCTGTCTTTTTTTTTACTATATTTCATGGCTTGTGTAGCTAACGGCCTCCATTTGTTGCACTTTGTCAAAAAGTTGAGAATGAGTCAAAAATCACAATAAAACTTCATATCAAAGAAAAATCGCGTAGCTGTCACTTTTGACCGTTTTTTGTCACAGCGTCACGGTATATCTTTGATTAATAGAGATCAATCAAAAAGAAAGATTAGATTTCGAACTTAACAAGCTATCACATCTTGTAAAGCAAAGAATTTTCTACAGCGTGGTATAGTTGTTTAATTTTTGCCAGCTCTTCTTCTCTCTTTTACACACGCTTTTTAGATAGCTGCAAAATCAATATATCACTGATAGGTAAAATTTTTAAATAGAACTAGAGTCAATGAAAACCACATTTTTGGATAGAGGATAGTCGATTGCATATGTATCCACCAAAATTGGCTCGGGGTACTGTAAGTCGGGAAGCAAAAATTTTTTAGAAAGTTAGCAGCGATAGTAAATGTTTATTTCCTTCTTTGGTTAGTTGATAATAATTTTTCAAGGAAGTTCTATACTTCCATATATGAGTACAGCCAGAAGCATTTTCGACTCCACACTAGGGCTGTTAATTTAGTTTTATTGTTCATTTATAATAATGGATAAAAGTAAATGAATCAGTTATATTTAAAAAATAAAGATAAATTCGTCATTTATAGTTAAAAAATAAATATAAATAAATCATAAAAAAGTTTATCTTCGTTGTATAAAAGTAAATGATTTATTTATATTTATTTATTTATTTCTAGCTTTACTTTTAAAAATAAAGGTAGAAATAAGTAAATAAATATAAATAAAGTGTGTTTTTTAATGTCTTTTTATTGCATATGTGCAATAAAAAATATGCTTATAAGCAAATTGAAAATATAGTTCAGAACTCTACAAACTGTTACAATTCATGAAAATAGAAAACAAACTACAAATACAAAAACTTTTTCGACCAATCAGACGCCTTAGATGGACATCTAACTTTTCTAGTGCACATGTGTACTAGCTAGATCATGCATGACCTAGCTTGTATAGATCTATTTTTAGTATGAAAAACGCTTTCTAATTAACACAATAAAACATTATTACTGAGGATTATCTCATTAACTGAATCAGCCCTGAAAGTATTGATCAGGATATTCAGCTCGGAATCAGTGAGAAGCAAGGGGCAATAACAAATATTTTTCTGAAAAATAATTTTCAGTTTTTTCAGGGCTGATTCAAACTCTGATTCAGAGCTGAAAAAACTGGAAAGCTGATTCAGCTATTCAGACCTAGCTGATTGTCGACTAGTGCAGTATATATGACAAAATGTACATATAGATATTATGCACCCAAATCAAAAAAAGTTAAGAATGACTGTGTATACATAATACACGAGTCTCTACCAAGTATACTGAAATAAAAGAACAAACACACATACATCTTCCACACGGAGCGATAAATCTGTTCCTTATTGTACTTATCTGTCTTACGATCTTGCTGACTTCGCTTATCAAAAGGCAAAACGTTTATTTTTGCTTCGTTGGAAAAATGTACTTGTAGAAGTCAATGGGCCTAATAAGAATCGACTTTTTCCTTTGACTTCTTTTGAACTCAAGCAATTATGGTCCAAACTAGTTAACTTTTCCACTATTAGATTTAGAAGATTGTTCTCTACTCACATATGGAAGTATAGAACTTCCTTGGAAAATTATTATAAACTAACCAAAGAAGGAAATCGCTGTTAGTTATTCTAAAGACGTTCTCCAGCATGATTCACTTTTCTTCGTTATCTCCTTTCGGTATTTGTAACGACAATCAATTACATCTCGAGCTTTCGGTAGAGGGAATCATATTCTCTGGTGCCTCTCTGCGATGCTAATTATCTGATTTAGTCTCAAATGTATTGCTTTAGTCAAGGCAGATAAATTTTTCGCTTGAAGTTTAAATAAACTTCTTTATAGATTTTCTCTATCACAACAAAAATAAAAATGAATAATCCATGCTTTATTTCATTCTCTCTCGAAATCGGTTTTCGTAGTAGACAAACAAGATATATGATCGAGGGATATGAAATTGAAGTTTAAACGCACGCTATTTCACTACGTAGGGCATTTCTTTTTCTATTTCAGTCAAACGAACTAAAAGAATCGTTGTACATATTATTCTGCTGTCATATTGTGTTTGTATGAGAGAAAAATGGGGAGAGAGATACACGTTTTTCTAATGTATCATAGACAAAAAGACTATAGTCCATGAAGACGATAAAAACAAATTCCGAAATCATTTTACGTCTAACCAAAATAGTTATCTAAAGATAATAGCCGAAAAAAACATTTATAGTCTCAACCGTCAAATAAGCATTTACTGTCAGGGAAAGTTCTCTAAGTTTCTTCTATTTACCATATTGTACGTTGACGATATTTATTTCAAGACATACTAAATCATGTCAATACACACTCCTTACGACGAAATTAATTTCATGAACTACTCATCATCAGCTCAACGTGCGATTGTAAGTAGAAAACGACAAAAATTTCAGAGCCATCTTGAGTACAATGATATATTTAGTTTTCTTGAGTTTTAGAAAATTTTTCATGACCAAAACCCGGAAAACACTTTCCATTTTTAGGAAACGATTTTTAGCGGCTGAACCAAAACTTAATTCAAAAGTCTAACTTTGTCAGGAGTTTTAGAATTGCTTTTTCTACCAAGCAAAAAGAAGATTGAATACTTGAGCACGAACGGGAAATACGATAAGCATCGCGAAAATCTGAAGAAATGAAAATATCACCCAGAGATTAAGTGACGCTAGTATATGATGCGAATTGTAGTGCTTTGGTAAAATTCTTACAACATTTGATCGAGAATCGTTCAGAACTGGAAGAAGCGCCAGAAACTTGACAGATTTTTTGCGCCCTTTTCGCAGTTCGTATCAGATTGAAGAGAAGAAAGAGAAAATACTTCAAACGTGATTTAGTTCATGTTCTTGTTTAGCTGGATGGAATACAAGATGAAATACAAAAGGCTGGAGATGAAATGTCTGAAATGATGGCAGCCCACTCACCAAATACGAATTTAGAACCACATTTGCTATTGAAAGCTATTCAAGTTGGACAGTTATATATAAAACATCTGAAACTGTCGCAACTAATGACACAAGAGAAATAAACAACAATTAATCATCCCAACTGAATCATGAATACATGTCTTTTTGTGTTAATATTGAATTAAAAACAGATTTTAACAAATTTTAAAATAAAAAATATACATAAATCATGTTTAGAACATTCTAACGCTGAAGGAAAAACAGACATTATTAAACAAAGCTTAACTAAAAAATTACTGAAAGTTGCTCATGTTCGAACTAAATGTTATCTAACCTGATGTATGTATGGACTGAACGAAAGATACAAATCTTAAACTATCCTTGTTGAATAGAGTAATCAAGAAACAACAAAAAGACTTTTGAACTTTCGTTTACTTTAAGTACGTGATATTGTGTAGCCTGAGATATGTGTGCTAGAATTAATCCAGTTTGCTAATTTTAATGTACTAAATTGTTCATACGGTTCCTTAGGTTTATTAATGATATCTATTTTACTACTGACTCTATTGTGCTATATTTCGATTATTTGTTCTAACATTGCATTTGTGGGGGCAAAATATCAGTACAACATTAGTTTTATTTTGATTTATCTTAGTTGAAATAACAAAGAAATTTAGGAGAAAACAGCTCGGATAAATTTTTGTTCGAAAAATTTGACTGAAACTAGTCTATTGATCTTTTTTATGTAGTAAATAACATTAATTCAATTAATGATATGCATCGCGAGATCATGCTACCGTGCTGACAGCCAGTGTTATTAACAGTAAATTTGGAGAGACTTTCCTGCATATTTTTGCTCAAAATAAAAAATATTTTTTAAAACACGTGCCAAAGCTCTTCAGTTAGATGAGTATCTTAAAACAAATATCTCTGTAACTGAAATGAAAATTTTTATTTTTATGACTATGAAGATGTTATTTAAAAAAATCCTTTAAGAAAAAGCTTAAACTCCACAGTTTTTTAATTCAGTTTGTCTCGAAACGTTTTTGTTAGAGTAAAAGGGTAAACGACGAATAACTTTGAACTCCTCTTCGTTCTCTTTGTCTTCCATAAAAGTATGTTTTCACTTTTTAAAATCATCTCTTTATCTCGGTTTTTGGTAACAAATGACAGCTCCAGCTGATTCGGTGCACTTCAATTGCGCCGATATTTGCATTACAGAGGCGTTTATTTCAACCAAGAACAGATAAAAAGCTTTTTTAAACTTTTTAATAAAAAAAAGGGGCGGTTCATTTATGGTGCAGGCGCTATTTGATGCTTGTGTTAATTATGGTCAGGTTATGTCAATCATGTGTAGTTATAATGCTATTAATAATATACCCACTTGTGGTAATCCAGATTTATTAAATGGTATACTTCGTGAACGCTGGAATTTTACGGGATTTGTAGTTAGTGATTATGATGCAATGGCATAAATTTTTGATACACATCATTATTGCGATAGTTATGAATGTGCTGCTAGTGTTAGTTTAAACGCTGGCTTAGATCAAGAAGGCGGTGGAACTAGAGCTATAGAAGCTTTAGGTAAAGCTATTGACTGACGATGGTAATGTTACAATGGATACATTAAATAACGCTGTTAGAAGACTACTTAAAACAAAGATTGAATTAGGTATGTTTGATCCACCAAATATGGTCGAGTTTAATAGTTATGATTTTAATGATATTGAAAATGAGGCGCACTTGAAATTAGCTAGACAAGTTGCTCAACAATCAATCTGTTTATATAAAAATACGAATAATAATTTACAAAAAGCCCCGTTGCCTATTCAAAATTCGGCAATTAACAAAATTGGTTTATTCGGTATACAATCAGTACAGACAGATTTATTATTAGGCAATTATGCCCGTTCCCCAGACCAGCCAGGTATTACAACAATATTACAGGGTATATATGATCAGATTGATCAAAACACAACAGCCAATTGTACATTTGAACAAGATATTGGTTATTTTGTTCCTGGACAAGCACCTATTGCTGTTTATAATCCTGGACAATGTTGTGCATTATGTTCAACTGTTCAAACATGTAAATTCTGGACTTTTTTTCAGAATTCATGCTATTTGAAGCCAGATAATTCTGGTCGTATATCCAGTCCAGGAAGAATATCTGGCTCATCATGAAATGAAAATAGTAAATTATTATTCTCACCTGGATGCATAAGTGTTGATTGTTTGGACACAACTAATTTCGGTAATGCTCTATCATTAGCAAAATCTGTTGACATATCAATAGTAACATTATCATTAGATCAATCAATGGAATCTGAAGGTCGTGATAGAAGTACGATTGATTTACCTGTAGGACAATACGAATTAGTTCGTTTATTAAAAAGTGTTATTGGACCTAATAAATCATTGATAGGTATACTTATCCGTGGCGGTAGCATTGCTTTACACAATTTAATGGATGATTGTGATGGTTTAATTGATGGTTGGTATCCTGGTCAATTAGGAGGTGCAGCTCTGGCTGATGTAATCTTTGGATCATATAATCCTGCTGGACGAACACCTGTTACATACTACCATTCAGATGAACAATTGCCTCCGATGCATGTGATGGATTTATATCCAAATTCAACTATCAGCAGTTTAGGTATTACATACAGATATTTCACAGGCAAACCACAGATACCATTTGGTTTTGGTTTAAGTTATACAACATTTTCGTATGCTAATTTGCAAGTGAAATCTTCTAATGTTAAGGCATGTGACTTGATTACTGGCAGTGTAGACGTTACTAATACTGGTGCAATAGATGGTGATGAAGTTATACAAATTTATATTAAATACCAGGCTAGTGTGCCTAGTCCAAATGTTAGATTGGTCTCATTCCAGCGTATTCTTGTACAAGCAGGTCATACTGTTACAATGGAATTTACAATAACTCCTGACTATCATGCTGTTATTTATGATTCTGACTCTGTCTATAAACCAACTCGAATGGTTGAAGAAGGTACATTAAATATTTATGCTGGTGGTGGTCAACCTGATTACTATTCTGGTCATTTACAACAACAAGTACAAATTACTAATGCACAAAACATTGATACTTGTTAATTTACTCCTTTCACAATCTGTAGTTTAGGTTTTTAGTTTACTATCAGACAATTTATTCTTTTCTATCTGCATATTAACAAATAGAAATTATTAAATCAACAAGAATATAATATTCATAAAAAAATTTTCCACCTCCGCTACTAGAATTGCCACAAGATTCAGCATGGTCAATAAGTCGGATGCACGAACCTAAAGCTTGGGAGGTACCAGAACCTTCGGGGATGTATAGTACGCTTGAACCATGATAAATGGACAGAATCGAATTGTACAATAATATTATCGTTTCCCTGAGTAAGAATTACATACATACAAATTACAAATATACAACACCTTGATACTTGCTAATTTACTCCTTTACTATCATACAATTTATTTTTTTCTATTTGCATATTGACAAATATAGACTAGATGCCAACTGGGCTCTGCGAAGATTGGAGGCCGACTGAGTGAACGCTATTATTAAGAAGAGAATAAGAATCTTAATAAGTCTCTACTGCACTCATGCTATTGACGGCAAGTATTCTCTATCTCTATGTATAACATTCGTTTCTTCTCTTTCATACTATAATTAATCACGTGTTAATTATCTCGATCATGGAAAGTTTCGAAGTCCCAAATTTTGAGTGACCCTGTTTAGGGCATACACCTGAGAAAACTATAAAGGGTAACGCAAAACAACCTCGGATGTGTCATATTCAGTGTGAGTTTTATATTCTCTTTTTTGTTTCAGTTTTCTATAACTTGAAATTCCCGAGATCGACGGGCATAAAAACGCGCTCGAGGTGTAGAGAAAGAAGAAAGAAGAACATACGGACTCTAGAGAAAAGCAATAAACCCACAGTTCACTACGTTCACTCACACGGCATAATTATTAAATCAACGAGAATAAAATATTCATAAAGACTTTTACCATCTCCACTACTACAATTGCCACAGGATTCAGCATGGTCAATAAGCCGGGTGCACAAACCTAAAGCTTGGGGATACCAGAGCCTTCGGGGATGTATAGTACACTTGAACCATGATAAATGGACACAATTGAATCGTACAATAATATTATCGATTCTCTGAGTAAGAATCACATATGTGAAATATGTGATATCGGAGTAGAACTCTAAATTTTAATATTTTAGGGAAACAACAAACTCGTTGACTAATTGATAAAGATCTTTCTGGAACAATAAGAAGGCTACAGTTTTTCCTTAAGATATAGAAGAGAAAATGTTGTAGACAACAATGGGATTGTTAAACTTTTCCCATCATACTTTTAATAATCACGTGTCAGGAACGCATCTAAACTACCAAGGCGGAAATAGCAGAAAATAGGTATTTTAGTAAGTAACAAAATTTCGTCTCGTTTCTTTCTATATAAGGCGCCGCTAATTCATAATTACGACACCACTTTATTTTCTCAATATTTACACACAGTTGGACAGAGGCAAGCAAGCTGAATCCGAATTTGACCTTTAAAACCTTCCCCGACCTTTCCTTTGCGGTAAAAAATGAAAAATACGGGAAAGATGCTGAAATCGAGAAAACTCGTCCTTCGAGAAAAACGACGATACTTTTTCCTCATTGCATTTCGGAGCATCAAGCACGTTGTAAGTGGATAGCACATAAACCATTTATGCACTGTGAAAGCTAGCCACTCTCGTGCTGCAGAACGGCAAAATCTTCGAAAGTTCATAATTTTAATTGATTTTTTTTTTAATAATTTTAATTGATTAATTGAATTAGAAGTGCATAGATATTTCTTTTTTTTATACACCTGGGATCTGGGAATTTCTGAGAGTTCATACTTAGTTTTGTGAGATATAATTTCTATTCCGACAAATGCGACAGAAATAGACTTGAGCGCGAATCACAAACGTTCGTTTGGCGCCAAATCGCTCGAATTAATTATCTAACTTCTCGTTTAAAAGTTCTGATGCATCCTTTTTATTCCTGCCCGTGTACTGAATGAGTGAAACAATTCTCCTTTTTTGCATTATGTTGCCAAAGAAAAAAAATTGCCTTTACAAGGTATGTCTAGCTTTGGTTGACGCTAGAAAAACACTGAAGAGCTCTAAAAATAATAACTCCCTAGGCCACGGAAAAAATTGATAACAAAGAGTGACGTGGACAGAGAATGAATCTGTGACCACTGGTTTTATGCGTAAATGCCTTTAACTACTAGGTCATACACGTCATTGCTGAGAGCATTCTCTTTTTATTTATGCTGATATAAAATATCTGTTATAAATTTTATAATCGGAAATAATTTACTCTTTGACTTGAGATAGAGCCCCGACCTTATTAATAAATTATCACGTGGGAGCAAGCAGCATCAGACCCAAAAATATTTCAAAACTTAAGAATTAAGATCCAAGAAAATAACAATTTTTTTACTATTTTCAGTGACTGTTGCTAAGTGGAATCGATTACACCATGTTTTACTCGGATTTTTCTTCGAGAACATGATGTCATTGGTCTAGCCATAAAGAACCTGTAATTACAAAAAATGTATTACAGTAAAAAGCTAGAACACGAGAAAACCCTACCGA